TGGTGGTTTTGCCTCCTGTCTTGGGATAACTCTGATGTCTTTCCTGGTGCTATCTTGGGATAACTCTGATGTCTTTCCTGGTGGTTTTGCCTCCTGTCTTGGGATAACTCTGACGTCTTTTTTGGTGGTTTTGCCTCCTGTCTTGGGATAACTCTGATGTCTTTCCTGGTGGTTTTGCCTCCTGTCTTGGGATAACTCTGATGTCTTTTTTGGTGGTTTTGCCTCCTGTCTTGGGATAACTCTGATGTCTTTCCTGGTGGTTTTGCCTCCTGTCTTAGGATAACTCTGCTGTCTTTCCTGGTGGTTTTGCCTCCTGTCTTGGGATACTCTGATGTCTTTCCTGGTGGTTTTGCCTCCTGTCTTGGGATAACTCTGATGTCTTTCCTGGTGGTTTTGCCTCCTGTCTTAGGAATTGGCGGAACTCGTTTTATGTTCCAGCTAAAATAGCTCTGTTTTCTTTCTCACCGCGCGGTGCCATCTTGTGGGCATTTTGGTTTCTGAGTTGAGCCATTTACTTTTAGGTCAGTGTAGTTTAGGAACTTCAAACATCCAGGGTTGCTACTCCCCAAAGGGAATTACATGGAATTACGTATATGATATATACCCTGAAATGGAAGAGACCCAATTTCTTGCAGAACTACATACATAGAATATAGGTCCCCAGTGAAAATACTCATCAGCTTTTGAGGAACACCACCCAATTCCATTGGTTTTCATTGGAAAATAGTTTTTTTTTCATAGTTCTACGACACCGGTCGTGGGGGGTACCCTTCGGTGAGCCTGAAAAACTCATTTTTTTAATGCAATATAAAAAGAAATTGATCATTTCGGGGGATCTGTCTTTTTTTTTGAAACGTTCTAGTTTAGGAACTTCAGACATCCAGGGTTGCTACTCCCCAAAGGGAATTACGTATATGATATATACCCTTATACATGGAAGAGACCCATTCCTTGAAGAATTACTTACATAGAATTTAGGTCCGCAGTGAAAATATTCATCAATTTTTAGAGGAACACCACCCAATTCCATTTGTTTTCATTGCAAAATATGTTTTTTTTCATAGTTCACCCCGCGATTGCCCCAGCAAAACGCGTCGCAACACACTTTCCATGCTGAAATCGCAGTTGTCCCTTTGCGGAACTGGTTTGAATCACAGGCGGCTGCAGCAATCCATGTTTCTGTCAAAAACCTGAAAAGATTTATTTTCCTGGATCAAAATGGATAGCCGGAAATATTCTATGTATATGTTGTTTTTTTCCGACTCCGGAAGATGTTTTTATTCTATGTATAGGTGTTTTTACCGATTCCGGGAGATGTTGTTGAGGCCGAAATTATCGATTTTGTATTCTATGTATCCCATCGGGATTATGTAATATATTATATGTACTCACAAGTTTTTGCACATATTTGTACAACTTGAAGGGGAAAGCGTTCTAACTGCTAAAATGCTGGTTAAAACAATGTCAAAGGGAACCGTTCTATTTGCGGAAATGCTGGTAGAAAACAATTTCAAGGGGAAACATTCCAACTGCTGAAATGCTTGTGTAAAAAACAACTTGAAGGGGGAAACATTCAAACTGCTGAAAGACCGGTAAAAAACAAGTTCAAGGGGGAAGCATTCTAATTGCTGAAATGCCGGTAGAAAAACAATTGCAAGGGAGAAACATTCTAACTGCTGAAAAGCTGGTAAAAAGCAATTTCAAGGGGGAAGCATTCTAACTGATGAAATGCTGGTAAAAAAACATTTCAAGGGGGTAAGCATTCTAACTGCTGAAATGCTGGTAAAAAGTAATTTCAACGGGAAAACATTCTAACTGCTGAAATGCTTGTGTAAAAGCAACTTCAAGGGGGAAGCATTCTAACTGATGAAATGCTGGTAAAAAGCCATTTCAAGGGGGAACATTCTAACTGATGAAATGCTTGTGTAAAAAACAACTTCAAGGGGGAAGCATTCAAACTGCTGAAATGCTGGGAAGCATTCTACCTGCTGAAATGCTGGCAAAAACAATTTCAAGGGGGAAGCGTTCTAATTGCTGAAATGTTGGTAGGAAGCAATTTCAAGGGGGAAGCATTCTAACTGCTGAAATGCTTGTAAAAAACAATTTCAAGGGGAAATCATTCTAACCGCTGAAAAGCTGGTAAAAAGCCGTTTCAAGGGGGAAGCATTCTAACTTCTGAAATGCTGGTAAAACACCTTTTCAAGGGGGGAAGCATGCTAACTGCTGAAATACTGGTAAAAACAATTTCAAGAAAAGCATTCTAATTTCTGAAATGCTGGTAGAAAAGCCATTTCAAGGGAGAAACATTCTAACTGCTGAAATGCTTGTGCAAAAGCAACTTCAAGGAGGAAGCATTCTAACTGATGAAATGCTGGTAAAAAGCCATTTCAAGGGGGAAACATTCTAACTGATGAAATGCTTGTGTAAAAAACAACTTCAAGGGGGAAGCATTCTAACTGCTGAAATGCTGGGAAGCATTCTACCTGCTGAAATGCTGGCAAAAGCAATTTCAAGGGGGAAGCGTTCTAATTGCTGAAATGCTGGCCGAAAGCAATTTCAAGGGGGAAGCGTTCTAATTGCTGAAATGCTGGTAGAAAGCAATTTCAAATGGGAAACATTCTATTCTAACTGCTGAAATGCTTGTGTAAAAGCAATTTCAACGGGGAAGCATTCTAGCTGCTGAAAAGCTGGTTGAAAAAAATTCAAGGGGGAAGCATTCTAACTGATGAAATGCTGGTAAAAAAACATTTCAAGGGGGGAAGCATTCTAACTGCTGAAAGGCTGGTAAAAAGCAATTTCAAGGGGGAAGCATTCTAACTGATGAAATAATGGTAAAAAACAATTTCAAGAAAAGCATTCTAATTGCTGAAATGCTGGTTAAAAAAACAATTTCAAGGGGGTAAGCATTCTAACGGCTGAAATGCTGGGAAGCATTCTAACTGCTGAAATGCTGGCAAAAGCAACTTCAAGGGGGAAGCGTTCATTGCAGGAATGCTGGTAGAAAGCAATTTCAAGGGGGAAGCATTCTAACTGCTGAAATGCTTGTGTAAAAAACAATATGAAGGGGAAACATTCTAACAGCTGAAAGGCTGGTAAAAAGCAATTTCCAGGGGGGAAGCATTCCAACTGGTGAAATGCTTGTAAAAAGCAATTTCAAGGGGAAAGCATTCTAACCGCTGAAAAGCTGGTAAAAAGCCGTTTCAAGGGGGAAGCATTCTAACGTATGAAATGCTGGTAAAAAACCTTTTCAAGGGGGGAAGCATGCTAACTGCTGAAATACTGGTAAAAAACAATTTCAAGAAAAGCATTCTAATTGCTGAAATGCTGGCAAAAAGCCATTTCAAGGGAGAAACATTCTAACCGCTGAAATGCTTGTGTAAAAGCAACTTCAAGGGGGAAGCATTCTAACCGATGAAATGCTGGTAGAAAGCCATTTCAAGGGGGAACATTCTAACTGCTGAAATGCTGGCAAAGCAATTTCAAGGGGGAAGCGTTCTAATTGCTGAAATGCTGGTAGAAAGCAATTTCAAGGGGGAAGCGTTCTAACTGCATTCTAACATCTGATGATATTCATAGTGCGAAGGCATTCTAAGTGAGGGATTTGTGCAAAGGGTTCTCCAAAAACAAAAAAACTTAAAACCCGGGTGGGGAGGCATTCTAACTGAAGGATTTTTTGCCGTGCGCGGGCCGCATTCTAACTGAGGGGGAGGAATATTTGGAATTCGCGGAGGCATTCTAACTTTCATTTTAACGGTATATATATATATATATTATGCATATATATATATATACACATATTTGTATATACAGAGATGTATATGTATGTACACCCCCATATCAATATCAAATTTAGAGTATTGAAAAACATATCTTCTGACTAGGCCCAGGCTTATATGTTTTGTGAACAAGATATCTAAGATTGGATCTTGACCATGGGTCTCCAGCATAGTGCATCATATTCTACCCAAGATATGGTCAAGATACACATTTAGTACATATATATCTATCTAATCTATCTATCTATCTATCTATCTATCTAATTTACCTTCTATCTAATACCCGTACGCTCCATTGTGCTGGAATATGTATCAACATTTATCCCATATTTATCACCAGGGAGCATATCTAATATGTAATTCAATGATCGGTGGGAAAATTTACAGCGGGTGCCAGAATTATAGAACGGAACCATAGAACGGAGCCAGGAGTACAAAAGTACGGTAAAATACCGTACCTTTGTACTCCTCCGGGTTCCGTTTCCGCGTGGAGTCGGGAAATTTAATTATAGAACGGGGCCTGGGAAACATTAATTATAGAACGAAAATGGGAAATGTGAGAAAAATGGGGGAAAACAGAATTATAGAACAGCAGCGCTCCGAGAGGAATTATAGAACGAAAATGGGAAATGTGAGAAAAATGGGGGAAAACAGAATTATAGAACAGCAGCGCTCCGACAGGAATTATAGAACGAAAATGGGAAATGTGAGAAAAATGGGGGAAAACAGAATTATAGAACAGCAGCGCCCCGACAAGAATTATAGAACGGGGCCCGGGAAACATTAATCATAGAACGGGGCCCGGGAAACATTGATTATAGAACGAAAATGGGAAATGTGAGAAAAATGGGGGAAAACATAATTATAGAACAGCAGCGCTCCGACAAGAATTATAGAACGACGAAAAAAGTTAGGAGTAAATTCAGATACGTTTTTTTTTTTCACACCTTCCGAGGAAAACAGAATTATAGAACAACAGGGTACGGTAAATAACCGTACCTTCGTACTCCTCAACTTCCGTTCTATAATTCCGGCACTGACAGTACACCGGGAAAGCCCCATATGTCATGGGAAAATCGATGGTTTCCGGTTAAGATATGAAGTGTGTATATATATATGTATATATATATGTATATATATATATCTGTGAGTCTGTGAAGAGTAAATATCTGTGTATATAAATCTTAAAACCAATCCATTGAATAAGACCCAAAGGAACATGTCAGGCTGTGGCCGTGTTTGACACGGACTTTTGGTCCACCGGTTGCAACAACGAGCTGATGTTGGCCATCAATCAGCCGGGTGCCAACATCGACAACCGAGGCGACGAGCTGATGTCTGGCCAGGAATTCCCGCAATGCAGATTTTGAAGAGGAAAATAAGAGGAACAGGTAGGAAACTGTTCATAAATGGAGGTTTGAATTGGAAGCTCATGGAAATATGATAGGAACATGAAGGAACATGTTCATAAATGGAGGTTTGAATTGGAAAGCCCATGGAAAAATGATAGGAACATGAAGGAACATGTTCAGAAATGGAGGTTTGAATAGGAAGTGCATGGAAATATGATAGGAACATGAAGGAACATGTTCATAAATGGAGGTTTGAATGGGAAACTCATGGAAAAATGATAGGAACATGAAGGAACATGTTCATAAATGGAGGTTTGAATGGGATATTCATGGGAACATGATAAGAACATGAAGGAACATGTTCATAAATGGAGGTTTGAATTGGAAAGCCCATGGAAAAATGATAGGAACATGAAGGAACATGTTCATAAATGGAGGTTTGAATGGGAAAGCTCATGGAAAAATGATAGGAACATGAAGGAACATGTTCAGAAATGGAGGTTTGAATAGGAAGTGCATGGAAATATGATAGGAACATGAAGGAACATGTTCATAAATGGAGGTTTGAATGGGAAAGCTCATGGAAAAATGATAGGAACATGAAGGAACATGTTTATAAATATGCTGGTTTGAATGTGGAAATCATACGAACATATGGGAACATGTTTGCAAATGGAGGTTTATAGCCGAGAAAACCATCTATGGTGTATAGATGGTGTTTCTCATGGATTTTCCAGCACGCCATGCTTGATGACACCGGAGGGTAACCTGGAGTGAAGCCCTTTGTGATCAGTAAACCTTGATGCTCCATGCTGCTCCAGATGTTTTTTCCTTTGGTTGGTGGGGGTGATAGAGGAAAATACCCCATGGAAAGGCTAAGACATCTCTCTCCCTCTCTCCCTTCGTACATATTGTACATATCCATGGAGACACACGCATATATATATATATACACACATACATATATATATACATACTTATGTATATACATATCATATATGATATACACACATATCTATTTATGCATATGATATACTGGTGAATGATTTGCTCTGGTAGACATGTAAGCTGCTGTTGGCGCCATGCCAAGCTCCGCACAGCTGTGTTTTCTACAAGAGCAAGCGTGACCTGAGATGGCAATGTAAACATATACAACTGACAGGCTCCCAGGAGTCTTTTTGAGAAACAGATGCAGGAAGCAGCTGAATATGTTTGGAGGAAAAACATGGTTTCCAGTTCAATTTTTCCTTTGAATAAATCGAGGCGTGTTTTGAGTAAATGTGCACGTGTCCGAATAATCCTATTTTGCAATCAGCCAGATCACCATTTTGCCAAGATTGTGTTCAGGGACAATCTGCAGGAACCCCCATTAAATCATCAGTAAATCATCTTAAATCCCTATTAAATATTATCGAAGGTGTTCAAAAAATCCCTATCGTTGATGATGAAATTGCATTAAGTACCATTGAATCCTTGTTGATGGTCAAACTCAATAAAATCTTTAAAAAAAACATTATATAAATTCCATTAAGTGATGGTTAAGTCCCATCAAATGATGGTCAAATCCCAATAAGTGCCAGGCACTTTTCCCTACTTCATGAACGTCAACAAAGCTTGGCCCAGCACCAACGCCTTGCTGGGCTTCGCGACGGGGCGCTACGCCATAGCTTCGGAGCAGAAGACCGACGCGGAGGTTCAGGCCGGTGCCCCTTACTGTATGTAGATACCTGGTTCACACACACACACATATATATATATATTATTATTATTTTAAAAAAACATGAACCAAAAAAAACAATATACCTTCACAAAACATGAGCAATCCCTCATGTTGACTGACAGAACCAAGCTATACGTTTAGGTCATGATATTTTTGTTCCATGGCACTTCCATGATGTGAAGCCAACCTTTAGGATCCTTTACCCAGTACCAGCCTGTTCGAACAGGCTGATTTCATGTCCCGGATCCGGCAGCAGTTTCCCAACGCGCCGGAGCCCACGCAGTTCAAGCGAAACCCAGCTGAGCGGGTGCCAACGCGTTTGCTAAGTTGGTTTCTTGTAGATACATGGTTAATCTATGGTTAATGGTTAATCTATGGTTAATAATGGTTAATCTATGGTTAATCTATGGTTACGAATGGTTAAGAATGGTTAATAATGGTTAATCTGTGGTCAATAATGGTTAATATATGGTTAATAATGGTTAATCTATGGTTAATCTATGGTTAATCTATGGTTAATCTATGGTTAATCTATGGTTAATAATGGTTAATAATGGTTAATAATTATTAATCTATGGTTAATAATTGTTAATAATGGTTAATAATTGGAATAACAATATATCTGGTTGGTGGTTTGGAACCATGGAATTTTATGACTTTCCATATGTTGGGAATAATCATCCCAACTGACTTTCATATTTTTCAGAGGGGTTGAAACCACTAACCAGGAATGTACAAACCATTTTGTGCATACTTGTTTGAAACCAACTAGACGCTACGGATGTTTCTCACACATATATCTATAACTATTTTTTTGGTGCATTTGTGGCCAATGAAGGAAGAGAAACCACCAAACATAACTGGGAGGCACCACATTGTAGGAATTAATCTGGCTGGACAGCCCCAGCCAATCTTTGTAATTTGGAACCAGGACTGTGTTGACGATAGGTTTCATCAGGTTTCTAATGGTATCTATCAGGAATATATAATCTATGGTTTCTAGGTTTCTGCTTAGATGGTATCATGATTTCTGGTTTCTATGGTTTATATGCCATGATTCGCTCCGCGTCTTGGTCCATAGAAATGTGGACAGGTCCTTCGTCTCGTGGGGATGTTTTTTTTGTCTTGAATTCTTCGGTCCCCATGACTTGGCTGAGAAGAGCGGGGTGTATTTCATATATGTCGGCATATGGTTAATAAAATGGTTAATCTATGGTTAAGAATGGTCCATATGATCTGGGCATATGTTTTTTTCTCGGCATTTCAGGTTTTCCACTATGCCAAAGCCCAGATGTTTGATGGTGCCACCTATCAGCGTTGAGTCGCCCGTGAACTCCCACCTGTTGGTCAAAGAAAAGAGGTATCCCCATGTAGGGATGGCCTTAAAGATCCAGAGATCAATCGGTTTACCGATTGGTGAAGCCTGATACTTCAAACTCAAGATTTTTTGATCAAAATCCATTTTTTTTAAACAAATCTTAAATATCTTAAATCTATATCTAAATCCATATTCAAGTATCTTAAATCCATATCCAATCATGGGTTAACCCGGTTAACCCCCCTGTTCTGTAAGAATCCTTCGGATGGGAAGTTACTTGGAGGATCTTCCCACGCCTCGTGGTTCATCTTCCGGTTTCGTAAGTTGAACCCCCCAAAGGTGGAGACGTATATCGCCATGAAAAGCGTGAGCACCCAGAATGTTTGATGCTTCGACACACTCACACACACATACTGTATATAATATATGTATATATGTAATTTATACTATGCATGCAATGGCATACATAATCATATATACATATATATGTAATATCACTCACCAATTAAACATATTAAAAGATGCATTTTTCCAAGGAGTTGGTTCTGTTTTGGGGGGTGGAGCATCCCCATCTCCATCTCGTTCCAGTTGAATTCCGGCATCCAAGGAACCCAGTGGAGCAGCGATGAATTTGCGCTGCTGGGTGCGTTAAACGGTGAAGGAAATGAGGCCATACCATCTGATTATTTAACATAGCCATGGTATAGATGGCCCATAGAAATAGATGGTTTAAATAACATTGGGATTTTCTATGGCGAACTGTTAAATAACCAGACGGTACCACATTTTTCCCTCTACTTGGGAGTGTATTTTGAAGGAATGAGATGATTTGGCTTGTGGTGTTAAATACTTCAACAATATGAAAAATATGTTTGTTGCTACCCTCACAGATGGAAAGCTGAGGATGAGGATCATGATGATGATGATGATGATTCCCAATATTTTGGCGAATAGAATCGATTGGGTTTAGTTTACAATTATGTGAAACCCACAACCCTCCGCATTTTTGGAGAGTACCGCAGAGTGGCAGCCCCAACAACAACCCACCCAACAGCTATGACCGTAGTCGCCGTAGTAGGTTTATTGTTGGGTTTACCCAGAAAGTCTATTGATGATTCAAAACGAAAATACTTTCACCACTTTTCACCAACCAAACTGGGGTTTACTCAACCCGTGGTTGAGCATACCCTCTCATTGGGAAGCGGCAGTCACCTGCATAGCAAGGTATGGGAGCTACACCAGTCCATCGGGCATCAACGCTGAGGCGGTGCGGCTGTGGTGGGCTGTGGCTGGGGGTGGTAAAGAAATCCCATGTGTTTTGCGTTTAATGTCGTTGCGATTTTCCATTTAAGTTAAGTTAAGATTAAGCCCCCATGTCTTGAACGTGAAAAGAAGCGTAAATACCCTTTGGTTATTTAACATAGCCATGGAAAATCACATTTTTTTATAGGTAAACCATCTATTTCTATGGGCCATCTATACCATGGCTATGTTAAACAACCAGAGGGTAGAATCCCCATCTTTGGGCGGATGAGGCCAATGAGCTGCGAGCGTTGGAGCAAGCCGTCAGCGCTTCTTTGACGTTGGCAGGAGAGCCTTGATTTATCGATGGAGGGATGGCTATGGCTATGGGGGTTGCCATGCCTTGCGCGGATCCCTCTCTCTCTCTCTGTGTATATATATATATATGTATGTATACACATATAGGTGTATATACAAATTAAAAGAAAAAGTATGCGACCACACTAAGTCAAGATAGACAAGTTGGGAATATGATGTATTGTGTACATGAATTTTCATCAAACTATAACACCTCCTGGAAACACTTGCAGCATTTGTTTGGTGATGGCTACAGATTTAGGATTTCTTGAGTTGGTTTATTTAAGATTTGTTGATCCAGATTTTATGAATATGTTCAGTTGGTCTATTTACCGTCCTTCCCATTTGCAATTAAAGTTAACGTGCAATCACACCACAAAACACCAAGAAAAACGATCTGAAGTGGTGAGCACGGGCGGTGAAGCTTTAAGAAGTTCACCCCACTTGAAAAAATAGATACCCTTATTCAACATAGCCATGGAAAATTACCATTTTTTATAGGTAGACCATCTATACATGGGCCATTTTCCATGGCTATGTTAAATAACCAGAGGGTAACATTAGATAACCCTTCCCCACAGTGAGTGGGTTCAGCAAGATGCTGAACTCCCGGAGAGGGCGATTGGACAAACGCGTGCAACATGTTTCGGCTCCAAATAGAACGTGGTGGTTGATTTGTGTTTGACAACATGTTCAAGCCTTTTTTTCAAGAAAATATTCAGCTAAATTCAAGCGATTAAATTAAACAATGCAGCATGACAATTTCAACAGTCCTAGGCAGGGAGGACCTTCTTTATATTTGAACATATGGGTTTGTTTTAGAATAGGGTACCATCCACCAAATTTGACTGATCGTCAATCAGAATTTTCCCTTTAATAAAGTACCACATAGTACTGTACCACTTTTGATCACCCCTATCTTCAGACAGACCCATGTCCTTAACATGACCATCGTTTTTGCACTAAGGAGCACACCAGTCCACTCTTTGCGGCCACGGTTCATGGCGCATACCAGTCGGGTCAGCGTGCTGCGACGGACGTCATCAATGGCATGCCGTCGGCCTCGGCTCTTTCGGCCTCCAAAGACTTGCCACTGGCGGTGTTGCTCATGGCGTTGCTGTTGTCCTGGTGATGTGAGAAGTGGCCAATGCGCCAGCGGTCATCTTGACCATGGCAATATAATATATATATATATTATATATGTATATATGCTGGCTGAGTTTGTGTGTTTGGCTATGTTTAGCTATAGAGATTGTTTTGCCCCCCCTATGAGATGCAAAAAAATCCTCCAGCAAACACTTCTATGGTTCTGGGTCGAGCTCACCAAAGGAGTGGCCATTTGACCTTTCGCCAAGAGGTGAATCAATTCTTTTTGCAGTGCCGCCAGTGCCCTGTTTTTTTTTTTGGCAGCACGAAAGTATACCAATAATTTGATGTGCTTCTGCCCTGGATGCTTGGAGGGACATGGATGAATCATATGGAGGTGGAGAGGAGCAGTCGCAAGAGATCAGCAATGGTGCAAAAAGACACCGGAGCTATTGTGCAAATAAATACAAAGAACAGATTCAGTGTCTTTGCAGCATCAGTCAGATTTGTTGCTTAAAAAACATCTAAACACATGTATTTATACAGAAAGGACTTGCATTTCACATAGAAACTACTCACTGAAATGTGCCCTAGCTGTGTACCAGCTCCAGGTGACATTCCCATGACGCTTCCGCAGTATGTTTCAATGGGGAATCGCCTTCATTTGAATGGGAAACGCTTTAAAGGTGTCCTTGGAATCAACTCCAAAAACATATGCACTATACCATCAATCCTGGAAATTGTTGGCCAATCTGAAAATCAAAGCCGGAAGCCTTTTACATTTGAGGTCAAAACCATGGGTTCCCCATCCCAACCCACATTTGGAGATTGAGCAGTGACCAGTTGACACCTACCTATGTGGGGTTCAACTCAGGGGAACGATGAAAACTGGACGGGAGGTACCCCATGTTGGTAAATCCAGTGAAATCACGGGAGTACCCAGCCTGGTAAACATAAAGCATCAAAAAGCTATGGAAAATCACCATTGATAGTGAATTTTCCCATGAAAAATGGTGATTGTCCATAGTTATGTAAACGTTTACCAGAGGGTAATGGTGATTGGATTTCCCGCATGTTTTTTCTCCTAAAACCAACGCAGTGAACCAAGCAGCCATGGGAATGGGATCAGCATCGGCCGAAGGCCTTGCTGTTGACGCGGGCATCCGTGTGTTTAGTTCGAGAAAAGAAGGGTGGTAGAGAGGACCGAACCTTGATCTTACCTGGGAATGGGTAAATCCTCTACATGGTTTCCCTAAAAAAAGAGAACCCCCCAGTGATGAGGTGGTTTAAAGGGGGTTCGAATC